CCTGAAGGTTTAGATTGCAGCTCCCTCCCTCTGGAAGGAACACACACAGACACACACAGAGCAATAGCACTCTTAGCTGCTTGTGGCTCCTTGTCATAGCTGTGTGCACCCTGCAACTGTGCCTTCAGCCCACAGCAGGGGGGACCCCTGCACTGCCAGCAGCAGCATTTTTGGGGAGCTGGCAGTCACTGAAAGCAGCCCCACACCCCCCATTCCTGGAAGGCTGAAGCTGAGCAAGAATACACTGACCCAGCTTGACAGAGCCGTCGGTTCTGAGAAGGATGTTGTTGCTCTTGACATCTCGATGGATCACGTGGTTGGAGTGAAGAAAATCCAGACCTTGCAGGCACTGAGAGAGAAAAGAGAACCAGGGGGGCAAAAAGTAGTGCTGTGAGTTCATCGCACAAGAAAGGAAACAGCTGTGGAAGGTTCCCTTTGCAGGGGAATGGGGAGGAATGGCAGAACACAGCGCCATTGAGAGCAAGAGCCTGCTGCTCCCACAGTAGCAGAGCAGCACCTTTCTCAGTGGAGAACTGCAAATGCCAATGCACGAGACAGAGATAGAATACAAGAGCAGGGGATAAGAGTACAGGAAGTGAGTCCAGTGAGTGTAGGGGCACTGGCAGACAGTTCCCTTGAGATGCTCTTGCTTGCCCATAGCCGAGCAGCAGCACAGAAACCAAGCTTGGCCCATGAAATCCCTCCCGTTCTGAGCCCCTGTTTCCCAGACAATGCAGCTCAAGGCCTTGGAAGCACAGATGGGATCCCTGACCTCCCGACTGACAGCTGCAATCTCTCCTTCAGACATTTGAATCTCGTCGATGAGATCTCTCAGAGTGCCTCCGTCCATGTACTCCATCACCAGCCAGAGTTCCTCATGCACAAGGTAGCTGAAAAAAGGAAACAAGGCCATGCAGGTGAACATGCACGGCTAGGTTGGTTTTTTGCTTGAGTCTTGTTTCTGGGTCCCTTGGAGACAAGGGCAGAAGAAAAGGAATAGACATTGCCTCTAGGCTGTGCAGTGTTTGCAGTCTGTGCTGTCTCAAGGAGAAAGGCAGTTTAGGAAGAGCCCAGATAAAAAACCTGTCACGCATGGCATTTCTGGAAATAAGCACCTAGTCTTCCTGGCATGCACAGCAATGGAAAAGAGGGGCAACAATGCAAGGGCAATCCTCTCTTGGATGGTTCATCAGCATTTAAGAAACTTGAAAAACTCAAGCCCAAAGAACTGTGGAGGCAATGAACTTAGAAGGTATTGAATTCTTAAGATAGGGCTGATGCAGGTTTTTGAACAATGTTCAGTCTGCATTTGCCAGGGTGGATTCATGCAGACAAAATGCAGTCTCTTCCCATCCATTGGAGATAAGTAGAGAAATAATCATTAACAACTCTATTTCCTGCCAGTGACCAAAGTGGGTTTTTAAGCTCTCATGCTTGTAGTATGTAAACAAACATTCAAGGGATAGGACCTTGACCACTCACCTGGCTAAGTAATTCACGATCCTGGGACTCCTATTACTCTCCATGATCCTGATTTCATTCATGGTTAATATCTTCCTACTCACTCCTTGCACATTTATTTTCTTTATGGCCACCTCAAATGACATTGAAAAGGAGTAATTTGAGAAAATTGGTAGCATGAGACTACAACACACATGGAGGAAGTGATTTTGGAATGGCACAGCCAAGCTGAGCCAAAGTGCCTTGTGATTAGACCTCATCACTGGAGTAATTAGGGAGTGACATTGCAACAGCCCATTTCTCTGCTCCCTTGGGGGTCAGTTACAGGACAT